AAAAATTCCCTTCCCTTTAACCAGACAGTGTAACATTTCCCCAATCCTGAAGTCCATATTCAGAGCCTGATTTTATCCCCATATTTGTCAGTCAGAAGTAACTTCCTAGGATGCACTGGAGTTGTACTGCGCTGAGAACCACGTCATCCGCCCCCAGGCAAAATGCTCAGGAGCTTTAAAGACACTTTTCCCACATCTAGAATGAGTGAAAACTAATCATGGACTTCAGGATTGGACCCATTTTTATTTCTATTGGTGGTCCCCAGTTACCATAAACCTGAAAATAAAATGAGATTCTTACCCAGCTGCAACTGCAGGAGAATGACCAAACCTGCAAACCAAAGGGGAATGCATTAGAAACCAAGTCATTCTTTGTCCTTTTCAGTAGCTCATCTTGGGTGAAATCCACTTTACAGAGGGGTCTGAACCACTTTATTCCTCTCGCACAGATTGTGCATTCAACGTTTGCACTTGAGTGAATGGTATGCACCAAACAAAAGCATCCCCATGCAGGAAAAGGCTGGTTCACAGATGGATAGATAGATGTTTAAGGCCAGAAGAGGTCATTATGATCACCTAGTCTGCTCTCCTTCATAATGTAACATTTAAAAGGCTGTGGGTTGGTTTGAATCTCATTCACAGTCCTCTCTCTAGGGAAGGATTCTCCAGGCTTTAAGGGCTAAAATGTCATAGAGAAAACATGAGCTCTACTCACCAGCCCATAGCATCATCTTCCCCATCTCAGCTTCAGATGTTGGCTTCAGTGACTACCTATAAATGAAAAGAACATACTTAGTTGCATAGAGGGAGCTTAGGAGCAACCACGGATGCTCTTGGATAGAAAAGGTCCCAAGCAGCTGCACATGCTCCAAGTACTTTGTCACATCATTGTTCTCAAAGCAAGTCAAGGTGACCGAGGAACTAAAAAGCCTGTATCCCTGCCCCCACACGTGGTTTACACACTGCCTCTCAATGTTGCTGTCATCAGTGGAGCTAAACCAATGCCAGTAACATCATAAAACCTCAGAGCATTTTCCTAACAGGGATAAAATTGAAAATGGAAAGAACAAGGCTTGCTGCTCTGATAGTAACCATTCGAGGCCCACAGAGTGTGCCCAGTTAGCCCTTGGAAAAGGTGTAATATTGACTGCAATGTAGAAGCAGGCATAGAAGTGTGCAGCGTGCAGTCATCAAAGCCTTCTCAGGATTCAGTCAATGCACTTCCTACAAATCTCTTTCTTTACCGCAAGCTGTAAAATAATTTAGGTTCCTCTGCCAGCCTCCCCTTTAGCCCTTACATATATACCCATTGCCCTGACGTTCAATGCAGCTCGTATAATTAAGTTTGAACTTCAGTAAAACCTGTCACAGAGCCAGAGACCTGGCAGACTCCCGGAGTAAAAGCTGGGACAGCCGTCTGCTCTTCACCGCCTGCTGCCGCTGTCTATTTTATGCCCTGGGTGGACATCCACGCCCATACAAATCGACAGGCTGAGCTCACATTTAACTCTCTACTTCCTGGTTTTGTTTTTCTTCTGGAAACCCTGTGCTCAGACTCATGGATAAAAAATAAGTTGTGCCATAAACCAGCCATTGGTTACACTTCCTCTAAACTAACCACAAGCTTAGGTTAAGAGTGCCAGTTCTGATCACTATTACACATTTTCCAGGGGCTAACTGACCCGCTCTCGGCTCCAGAGCCCTTGAGCTCCTTGACGCCGTCAGGAAAGAAGTGAGAATGCTTTCCAGTCATACATCACAGGGTACGATGAGATGTGCCGTGGCGCCCCTCAATTAACATTTATTACAGTAGCAACAATGGGCCTTAACTCAAAGTGGGGTCCCACGGTGCCAGGCATTGTCCATACTTATAGGGAGAGAGGAAAGTGAGGGATTTCTGGTCACTGATTCTCATCTCTCTTCCCAGTCCAGTGTTTCAGTTACCTATTATTTTCCTTCTTCCGTTCGTGTAAGAGAGTGGCCAGAAGTTTGTCCTGCAGTTCACTGCCATTTTCTTTCCTCGCTGTTGTCTTGCTCCCCCAGGCAAAGCCTGCAGTATATCACTCTCCCTTCACGTGGGCGACACCCTGCAGATACTTGTAGGATCTTATAACGCCCAACTTTAGTTACTGTCTATCTAGATCTGGGGTGGGCAATTACTTCGGGCGGAGGGCCACTTACTGAGTTTTGGCAAGCCATTGAGGGCTGCATGACAGGCAATCAGGGGCAGATAAATATTAGTTTTGTAATTTTTTTAGGGCCCCGGGGGCCGGATAGGATGGCCTGGCAGGCCGCATCTGACCCACGGGCCGCATTTTGCCCACCCCTGATCTAAATGCTCTCTTAATCATTCTCTATATTCCAGTCTGTCCAACATCGTGATCTTAAGAGATCCTTCTATTTGATCGCTTTGCTCCATTTCATGGTCTAAGCACACACACTCCCCCTGCCATCTGGGTGCGAGGTGCAGTTTTCTCTCACCCTTCATGGCTGTTTCTTCTTCGACCTAACCAAAAACGAGTAGAAGGGCATGGCAAGAAGCATCTGACCAACGTTCAGCAGCAACAGAGACTTCTGGTAACATTCGCACCCACGAGACCCAATTCCATTACTCAGTCATGCAACCTGCATGCCATCTTTTGGACCAGACCTATTGTTGGCTCCATTTAAGTCAACAGAGTTGTTTTCTCATTTATGCCAGCTGAGGATCTGGCCCAGTTCTTTATTAAATGGGTTTACGTGTTAAGTCTCAATAAATCCCCTGAATACTTCGACATCACTATTTTCTGGAGAGAATATGAGATAAAACCAGAGGGGCATATACCAGAGATGATAGAGACAGACAGCATAGCCAGGTTCAGAAAGGGACTGGATAAATTAATGGATGCTAGACTATTAATGGCTATTAACCAGAACGGCTGGAGCTGTTTCCTCTGCCATCTCTAAACCGATAACAGTGGATCCCAAGGTGGATATTGAGTAAGGGATAGATCACTGGAGATATTCAGCTCAGTGCTCTCCCTCTATAGCACTCATTTCTGCCACTGTCAGAGGTAGAATAACACACTAGATGAACCACTGGTCTGACCCAGGATGGCACTTCTTATGTCCCTATGGTCTCTGAGATTCTTCCTCTGCACTTAACTTTGCAGATTGCCACTCCCATGACCTGTACCTTTACGGACTCTTTTTCCCTTTTGCCCCAGAAGTCAACACGCACCTGGCACAAAAATGACCTTGTGGTTGGTTTCTTCTGCCAAGTGCTGTCAAGGCAGTACAACCGGCATTAGATTCTTCTCTCTTGAGAGAGAAACGCAATAATGCACAGTGCTGCAAAGGCTAAGAAAACACAAAGGGACCGACACATTGACAGAGCCCAGCCTGTCACTCGGGAAGGTTATCAAAGGAAAAACCCACGGGCACTAACGAGGTATGATCCTACTGGGAAAGAGAACAGGCATCTCCACCCTGTGCACTAGACAATCCTCTGTCAGGCCTCCCCATAAAGCCAACTTCTTCTCAAGTCTACATCAACAATGGCAACAATGCCATTTTAAAAGAAACTAAGGAACTGCCATGTGTTTATTGGGAAGAAAATAATTTATTCCGACATGCCTACTCTAACTGCTGTCTTTCTGTGAACTCGAGTACATCTCCTTCCCCAAATACAGTACAAACACCAGTGCTTAAATCCCAGTTGCATCAAAGCCAGTGGGATTTTTTCAATTGACCTGAGTGCAACCTGGATTTCACCTCAATCTACCAAAATAAGGATCCAGATTTGACTTCAGTGATACCCTCAAGCAGAGAAAGAAGGGTGGCCGAGGCCAAAACAGCTAAGAAAGCACAGACCTGAAATAATCTGTCTGAATAAACCCATCTGTAAATACAAATTCAAGTACCAGCTCTGTGATGACAACTCTCAGACCTATCGCTCTTACCTCCCCTCCATAACAAAACCTTGGCTTGTCTCTTTGATGTCTCCTCGTGGATGTCTTGCTGTCAGTTCAAGTTCAACATAGCTAAAGCAAAGCTCTTGATCTGGTCTCCCCATCAGCTCTGTTCCCTACCTTCTTTCTTATTTGTTGTACATAACACCACCGTCCTCCTTCCTCCAAATGCCATCGGACCCTTCTCTAGTTTGGATGTGAGGAGCTGTGACTAGACCTTGCCAGTTCTTTCTGCAAAGCATCTCTAAACTATGACCTTTCCTAATCCATGTTTTATACACCCAGAATTAAAAAAAAAAAACCCCCACCAAAAAAAACTCCAACCACTCATTCACCTCCTGTTTCAGTTATATCAACTTCCTTTTCTCTTCCCAGAACACACACAAGCTTTTCCCACTCGCATGCAATCCAGATGCTGCCACAAAGATCATTTCTCTAGCCTGCTACTTGGACTATCTCACCCTCCCTCTGCATCTCTCCATTGCCCCCGTTACTCCATCATATAAAACAATCTACCTGCCATCACTTTCAAAGGCTCCCCACAGCTGTTCCCCATCCTTCCCTATCATCTCTCTTGAGATATCAGCTCCCACACTGAGCCAGCCAATAACCAGATTTCATCATCCACTTGTTACACTTCCAAGCAAACATCTTGTGCTTTGTCCAAACCTGTGCCTCACATTTGGGAAAAGATCCCTGGAAACACCCAGTTTGCTCTCTCATTATTCTCTTAAAAGACCTCTATGCTGCTTACAAAAATCTTAACACATTGGCCACTAGAGCATTCTAGGATCACTGTCCATCACAGTCACGAATATTGGTTCATTTTTGTCTTTGTGCTCCCCCATACGTTTAGCTGTGCTCTCTGTCTTGCACATACATTTTGCCTTTGTGAAAGGTACCTCTGAGTTCTGTTTGTATCATGCGCAGCACGGGAGGGTCCTGATTTACAACCAGGACTCCTACAACAGTGATGCAAATAAATGCAATAAATCAATATCCTTGACAGCCTGGCTAGCCAAAGCAAGATCAATGACCACATTTAACTCATTGTCAGTAATGACCACTCCAAATTCTATTTGAGAGAGAGGAAAGTGCTGTTAGGAACCTGAATTACACACGAATTTCCTGACTGACCCATATTGACATGGTAAAATACCTCTTATGGGCAAAAGCTCAAGGACCTTCTCTGATCTGTTCACAACGTGCATGTCCAATTAAGCATATTCCTTCCAATAGATACAATGCAGTGGAAGATTTTCCCTTCCTTTTCCTGGCCACCCCTGTAGCAAACCCTTTGCAGCCTGCCACAACACGTACAAATTCTCTTTGTCTTCATGCAAATCCCAGTTAACAAAGCCCTACGTATATTAATGCTACTCGTTGACTAAATGCGACAGCTTCTGCTGAGCTTTTGTCCGTGACAGATGACTCATTACTCCAACAGAAAGGGACTGCATTTTCTCTCATTTTGACCATGTTCCCAAAAAATTTCCCTACGCTCATGGTTCCTGATTATATAAAGGGTAGAATGTGTACCAAGAGCTGGAAGACTTATTCTTCAGAGCAAGTTGGTGCAAGTCTTTCAGGAACGGGTGAACAATTTTTCTGCCTGGATGCTGGGAGCAGACTTGCTAAACAGGATTTTCTCAAGTGCAATATGTGCCAGTATATTCAGGTGGAACAGCTGTGAAGGGCTCCTTATATGCAAGCAGGTTGTACAGGCCCTTCTTCATGAAATCTTTCGCTGGAAAGCAGAGTCAGCTGGTTCTAAGATTTTTTTTTAGTGCCTTTTTAGTGACAAAAAAATGCCTTACACTAGAATCTCCAGCCTGAGAAAGTGAGTACCAAATTCTTTCCGAGAGAGGGGTATGATGAGAGACCTGATTCCCCATATCAGTATCCAGTTTAGCTCAGTGTCACTTCTATTATCACTGTGCTTATTAATGTTTTCTCAAATGAAATTGCATGCGATTTAAATCCGTGAAAGTGACAATAAGGGCCAAGGTGTCTTTTATGTCTATTAGGCTTCATGTGTCTTCCAATTTATCCTTCAAGATGTGGGCTGACTACTCTGAACAGGGTTGAACTCTGCATGAAGATACCTTATGTGCTGTCACAATATCCAAGAAGAATTAGTCCAATGGATTTGGCCCATGGGATTATCCATAGAACGATGGCTGGTGCTTAGCACCCCAGGGTCACTATCACCTCCATGGAGATGGACACGTTCCAGCTGCTGGGACATGGATCAAACTCTTTCCTGCATCTGAACAGACTGCCGCCGGAGGCGGTTCAAACACCCATTTTGAACGCCTTCAAGACACATTTGGATGCTTATCTTGCTGGGATCCTATAATCCCTGCTGACTTCCTGCCCCTGGGGCAGGGAGCTAGACTCAATGATCCTCCGGGGTCCCTTCCAGCCCAAATGTTTATGAAATCTGCACTATCGAATACTCCAGGCTTAG